GAATCTTTGTATTGTCCTTGTTTTCTTTTTTTTTTTATTAAATTTATATAATTTATATTAAGCACCAGGTTAAACTATATATATCTTATATATATTTTTCTTATTTTTCTTTGATTTATACAAATGTTTTCTCTAGGAAATAAATAAAAATTTAAATTATAAAGATTTCTAAGTTAGAGAGATTCGACTGTATTCAAATGAGTTTGAATGTTTCTAAAAAAAAGATTTCATATAATGACATTTTACCTGATCAAGGGATTCGACTATGGCAGAAGTGGCAATCCTACACGAAATGTGTTAGAAACATGCTTGGCTGCTCTTGAAGGTGGCAAACATGGCTTTTGTTTCTCCTCTGGTTTGGGTACTGCAACTGCTATCACATCCTTGATGAAAGCGGGAGATCATCTTATTGCTGGAGATGATCTTTATGGTGGAACCAACCGTTATATACAAAAGTGTTTAAGCAACCAAGGTGTAAAAAGTACTTTTGTCGACATGACTGATGTGCAAAATGTTGTAAATGCGATACAACCAAATACAAAGGTAGAAATTAAGAAATAAAAGGAATTAAGAAATAAAATATTATGTGTTATTTAGAATTTTACTTTTAGAATTTAATATTTTCTAGACATATTATTAATTTTTTAATATGTCAACTTATTTTCTACATTATATTTTCTATTTTATTATAGATGATATGGCTAGAGACACCGACTAACCCCATGATGAAAATTACTGATATCAAAGCTGTCGCTGACAGTTTAAAGTTTTCTCGTCCAGATATTATATTAGTTGTCGACAACACATTTTTGACATGCTATTTCCAAGTAAGTTTGAAATAATTATAAAAAAAAATATATAACTATACATATTCAATATGAAAGAGACTATTACCAATTTATTATGTTTTCAAAACACAGAAGCCCCTTGATCTTGGCGCAGACATAGTAATGCATTCGTTGACAAAATATATGAATGGTCATTCGGACATTATTATGGGTGCTGCAATTACACGCCGAGATGATCTCGCAGAAAGATTGCGATTTCTACAAAATGGTAAATCAATTAAAAATTTTTGCGAATCTTGAATCTGAACATTTTGTGAAGATTAATATCTTCTTTTTTCAGCAATGGGTATCGTCCCATCGCCATTTGACTGCGCCATGGTAAATCGTTCACTGAAAACGCTTGAGTTAAGAATGCAGCAACACATGAAAAACTGTTTAGCCGTAGCCAAGTTCCTCGAGTCTCATCCCTATGTTGAGCGAGTATTGCATCCGTGTACGTATCCATAATTTCTCCTTATCTCTTCTTAAAATAGAAGCATACTTTAGTTATCTATTGCATAATTTACTGCACTGATCCAAAATGATAAACCATATCTATGAGAAACATCGTAATACAACTATCATGATAAAACATATCTGTGAGATATAGTACACATGTTGTTATGTCACAGATCTCCCGTCGCATCCACAGTATGAACTTGCGCTTAAACAAACATCGGGACACAGTGGAATGCTTTCTTTTTATCTGAAAGGTGATTCAGTGAAGTTTTTGAAAGCATTGAAGGTCTTCACCTTAGCTGAGTCTTTAGGGGGATTTGAGTCGTTAGCCGAATTACCGTAAGTATTCAAAATTGACATTGAAGCTGATATCTAAAAATATATCTTTAATGTAAATATTTATTACGTAGCTCCATAATGACTCACGCGTCCGTGCCGAAAGACATGCGGGACAAATTGGGCATAACCGATCAATTGATTCGATTGTCTGTCGGTCTTGAAACAGAACAGGATCTCATAGCCGATATCAAACAAGCATTGGAAGCTTGTCAATAAATTAATTAGACAATCACGAAATAACAATAGCAGATATTTTAATTTATATATTGTAATTTGTACTATAAATGTCGGATTTTTATTGTCATAAATTTCCGTAATACATGTGAATAACTGCCTTATGCATTATTTAGATATATAAAGAAATTTTATTTTTATAAAACATTTTTATACATTCGACAGTTCGCAGATTTACATTAGGAACACTTGTATAATACAGCAATAATTGTATACTTTTTGACACATGATCGCCCGTTCTGATATCTCTTGATTTATCAACGCTTATCAAATAGATGTGATTCTCAAATTTAGAAACGATATAAGTTACATTTCAGAATGACATTTAGTTATTAATGTTGTATATTACAGACTGCGAACACTAATCCGCTTTTAAGATCACAAAACTCGACTGGCAATCAATAAATTTGACAAATGTCAATAATTTTCATTATTGATTGCACTTTATTTTGATACATTACAAATATGTTACCACCCTGCGTTTCATCGAACGCAGAATATTGCCGTATAAAAACCGGATATTATTTGTACTACCAATGCAATATACAATAACATTTGGTGCAGTGTGACACATGTTTCCCCTCCCATATAAACCTTCCCATAAACCATAAATTTTCATAATCTTTGAAAAATTGTCCTATTGCAGATTGATCTTTGACGAGTACCGTAATTTTGTTCTGTTTATCCTGTCGTACTCTTGCGCCCGATTATATAGCAAGACGCCCACTATAACGGAGGAAGTGCCGAGCGCCGATAATCCCGTTACAGGATTGTTAAATAACAGAACAGAGAGCCATATTAGGAAAGCTCTCTTCGCGGTATTAGCAACACTACAATATTAATATATTTTAAAGCACTTTAGAAGCAAGCAGAAATACAGTTTGATCACGATTACGAATAACGATTACATACCTGTGTGTCACAGGACTGACGTAGTCCATAAGTACATAAGCGGTAATACTTTGAAAGTGGAAGAATACTCCATTGAGTAGGAATGCCGCGAATAATTTAAAACTCAAGGAATGCTCTAGAGTGGGTAGATCGACTAACAATATTGACACCGGTATTTGTACCACAATTGACGCTAAACTAGTATAAAATTGCAATTCCGCCGGTCTGTAAAAACATCAGAACGTCTCTTTCTCTCTTTTATAGTTTAGTTTATAGTTTAGTGTATAATTTTAATCTTATATATTCATGCAATACAGTTGATGTTACTCACGTGTACTTAAAATTATCACCACTGATTAACATCTTCGAATAGACGTTCTGCAAACATTCGGTTACGTTTGTGGCCATAGCAGCGATAAATCCTCGGAGATCAAAACTAATCTCATTGATGGAACATAATGCTAATCCACCCATTACAGGTATCAAAGATAAGTTCACATATAATCCCGTATGTTCCCCTAAAAATTCCAATCACTCAATTAATCATCAAAAACTTGAATTAAATTTCTTTCTTATAAAGACTAAATATATGAATACTTACCTAATAAATACCTACTGATGAGGACGGTGAAAAGTGGTGCGCTACTCTTTATGGTTTCTGTGAAACTTACAGCTACATAATTTAGCGACACTAGACCTAGAACTACTGTCGCAAATCTTGTGCAGCCGACTAGTGTCATGTGCTTATAAAATCCTGGAGGTCTCATCAACCTTGGACTTGCTTTGTACATACCGCAAGGGAAGTACATTTGTATCAATCCACATATTGCGGTCATCAACATTTGACAGGCACCTGTGTTTCAAAATGAATATGTCAAATATATCATGTACATGAGAAAAGTGTAAAACATTAAATAAATACATAAACATTTTAAGTAATTAAGCGTTTTAAACACTAAAAACATACAAGGCTGGCAATTCTAATTTCCTGCTTAATTATTTTTTGGATTTATATTGGATTATTTATATATATAAAATATTTCAGAAATAGATTGCCAAACTTCAAAAACATATTCTATGCATTAAGAATGAAAAAAAAGATCATATAAATGTGAAACTTTCTTTCCAAATTATAAACACTTCTTATTCACAACAGACTTTAATAAAAATATTTTATTAAAGAAATTGTTGAAATTGATTTCTCTCCGCATTGACGCATGTCTTGTATTAACATCTTAAATTGTTAAAGATATTCAATAATTCACAAAGTATTTCATATTTTATCACATGAAGCGATAATATAATTTCAAAATATTTTCATAGTAGTAATAGGAATATCATAAACAAGATTCTTAAAATGTCGTTATAAATAAAAATCCAAAAGGTTTAAATCTGTCAAATATATAAGCTTTTAATTAAAAAAAATTAATATAAGAATAATCCATAAGACATTGATATAAGGCATATTGTCTATTGTATATAAAAAAATGTTTGTAATTTAGAAAAGAAGTATTTCTTCAGGTTGACCTTTCTTTCATTCTTAATAAATAGAATATGCTCTTAAAGTTTAAATTAAAATTAATAGACATTGATAGAAATGGGCACAAAACTGATATCATTGAATATAACTATCTTTATATACAAGATATAAAATTTATTGATACCCCAATAAAATTTTATATCTCGCGTATAGAGATAACTATGTTCAAAGATAACACTCTTATGTTCACGTTTACAAGTGTCTATAATTTTTATTTAATTTACTCCTTTTTTTTCCTAGAACCTAAAAGAAAATAAGATATAATAAACCAAGATTAAATTTATGCATTGACAAAAGTGGACATTGAAAACAATTGTCTGCTTACCCAAGATCGTAGGATCACCTTCCATGTAGGATAATATATACTTGTTTAAAAACAGGGTGCATCCGCTGAAGACGTACCACAGAGTGAGAAAGAGAAGGGCTCGAGGATTAAACAGGCCGCCCTTCGTATCGCTCGTCAGAACGATCACGTCTTCCGTTCGTTTCTTGGCATGATCCGTGTATTGTTTCGGTTGGTCGTCGTGGGACACGGACGAGTCATCGGGATCCCCGCGAGCAGTTTGCGGATAATTGATGCGCACGGAATAGTTCTCCATCTCTCGTTCTCTCTCCCTCTCTCC